GTCAATGACAGAAAGTATGGAAACGAACGTACTGTGCGGGAGCGCGCCTCATTTGATCAGACCCGAAGGCGACTCTATATGAATGTGAGGGACCGATGTCGCCTGCATACGACGAGAGGGATTGTTGTTGGTAGAGGACATTGTAGTGGTGAACGGGTATTACACTACAGAGCAATAACTGGCCATTATATAGGGACTCAGCCCCCCCGCAAATGGTCCTTTTCTGGAACAGCGCCCAAAGCAACTATAGGATCTCACCAAACCTCGGCAAAATCTTGAGAGACGCCCAAGACGCCTGCCTTCACAAGGTTCTGGCGAGATGTGTTGAGATCTGACAGATCTGGCCATCCGTCTAGGTACCGAGATATCAGCGCAGTCGTTGAATTCGGAAAATGCCAAACTTGACTTCTTTTCGTGCCATCGCACTTGTAGCTTGGTTGTAACCCACAAGTTATGCGGGTTCAATCACCATCGCGAGTGGGAGAAATGAACGGCCCAAAGGCGCCTTGTCTGTCTACATGGAATTTCCCTGGATAGCCTCATACTCTCGAACATGTCATGAGCCAGCCAACCAGCCAAACGGCTGTGCTTTCTGAAGAGAAATTCAGAGTAGATGATTGGGAGTTTGAGGGAGGAAAACGGTAACACAGCCACTATACTCATCCACAATTTCACATAGGCCAACCACGAAATCTAGTCTAGGACTCTTCGCCTGCCACATTTCAAGATCATGAAAATCACCTTCAAGCAGCACCAATGCGTAACGACGAACACCTTGTATAAGCACAGTTCATCGGATTATTAACGCTCGTGGTATTACAAGAAGAACACCGCCTTTCTTATTCTGTCAATGCTGCATTGCCGCAGCATGGCCCGTGCCATGCCTTCTCTCCGATGATAGTGGAAAATCGATATTTAAGTATACTGCCATCTCACAGCCCCCGGATTTATTTCCAGTTTAATGTTACGTGGGTGGAAAATCAGACAGTGGCAGGGCACACTTATGATTTGCTTTAGAATAGTTCTTTGTTGCGCTCAAATCAGCCGCCGAAGCAACGCCAAACGATACCCAAAGTAGTCGCATATTGCCGCGACTTTGCAACGTGTACGTGGCGCTGACTCTCACATGTTCCTCACCCCTGCATGCACAGGCATGCATAGCGTCTATTTCTGTTTCACGATTCAAATTCACGCTTGCCAACGAACCCACATAACTACATAATATATGATCACAGGTCGGATGAATTCGGCGGGACAAGGATATCACAGCTTATTTCCCTAAAATCGGGGTACACTTCCATATTGCAATGGCCTTAGAAGGGGAAGTTCTCGTTTTGTAACAAGAACTATTACGTTTGGCTTGACCTGACTACAGCGGTTTTCCCCGCAGCGGAATACTCATAGTTGACCGAGGCTTTCCTCGCGTTCGGGTTCTGCATAATCCCATCACGCAGATCCCCGTTTCACTGTGTTAGGCCTATCCTCGCTGAAATAACACGTAGTATCCGTCTCTAAGCTGCTCGAAATGTCGGTTTGGCAGGTCGAGGATATTGCCGCAATCGGACATCCGTCCACCTGCACCCCTTGCCATCGGTTTGCAAAAGTCGAACGGGACTTAACCCACTCGCCGGCTACTTGATCTTTATGTAAATGAATGATCACGCGAGATCTTCTGGTTATTGTCTTCGTTCTGGTCACTAGCCCAAGCGATTACCGACGTCCATAAACGCAGATTCGGCCTGATAGCTCGCTTTTGCCCACACTTGGTACGGCCATGAGAAGGGATCTCATTTCCGAAGTTTTCCGATGCACTGGCATAATGTGGAGATTGGTCAAATAGAGATTCGGGACTTTATCAAACATGGCCCAAGATGTGGGCTACCATTGGCATTCATGGGCGTAGAGCTTCAGTGATAGACGTAAGGTGGCCAATTGCCATGAGGTTTGGGGATATAATTTGATCCTCGTGGTTTGTGGAGTTTCGAAGTCATCAACCTGGCCAAGGTACCTGACAGCCACACCAGGGGGCGCGAGAAGGGGCAGTCCAAGCCCGGATCTGCTTTGCGAATGACTTCATCTCATGCAGTGATCGGGGACAATGCGAGTCTATGCACACGGGTTTATATGGGGTTCCACTAATTTGCATAACGTCCAAATAACGTCTTTGCACTTTCTAGTGTGCCGACTAATGGAGCAGAGGAAGGCTCTTATCCCATGGTAGTCCCAATGGTAGTTACAAATTACATATTTAGGCAGAGATGGGTAGTCGTCGGAGCGCTCATCACGCTCGAGGGCTATCAGTTAGAAGATCCTGATGCGGTTCTAGCGTGTGGAAATGACTGGATTGAGGACAGTTGGCCAGGTCCGGAAATCAGTCTAGTTACCGATTGGTACAAACGAAAACTGAACAAACTCTCAATCTTCCTCGTCACTCCCGTAGTCCGCCACTCCCAGCCCTGAAATCAATGGTTTCGGAGGTATTGTCTTTGGACTTACGACAGCTAACGAGACGCCGTTCCGCCTCCTTATTTCGGCGAAGTACTTGAGACCTTCCATTGTATCGGCAGACAGACCAAGGGGCTGAGGTGGTGGCTCTGACGTCGCTTCTTGTGGCGGTGGCAGCTCAATCCGCCGCCGTTTTGGCTTTGGGTCGCCAGTCTCGCCAGATTCCTGGTCCTCCACCACTTCTCCTTCGTCGTCCACTATATCCCCATCCTCTAATGCACGGACGGCCCATGGCATCAACAATACGAGGGTCCATCCGCGCCTTGATAGCTTCCTGCCCGATCTCCTCCAGCCGCCGCTTTTCCGCCACCTTCTGCACCGGATTGGGATCCTCGGTGGCCCATCGAACGTTCAAGATTTCATCATTGTCAAGGTTGGCACGCCATGGCCTCTTTTGCAAACTGTGCACCGAACTCCGACACATAAGTCACGAACGCGACGCTACGGTACTGTAGCACGCGGACTGCAGGAGGGGACGCAGTTTAGATACCGTTTCTTGAGAAGCTTCTAATAACGTACTGCGTTCAATTTCGCCCCACTCTTTGAAGTGTCTTGTAACAATATCTTCTGTCTCCGGACCTGGACCGGTCTCCTTGATTCGACCGACGTATAGCGTTCGATTTTGTCGGTTGAAACTACCAACACCACCCATGTCATCTCTGTAGTCCGAGAATTTGTCTCGAGCAAAACAATCTTTACTCGAATCAGGTAATGCGTTATCAGGGTCGGGAAGAGTGTGAAGGTAGTCGCACTCCCATCCATACGGGCAGCACCCACGAGCAAAGAACAGAAACAATAACGAATACCAGTCGTGTTGGCTCGAGTCAGGCCTGAGTCCTTCTTGATGTTGCACCGAGTTTGCGATTTTACTTTGCTATAACAGAGTCAGACATTGAACTGAGAGATAAATATGCATTAAACTCACTTGGAGTAGTTGTCTTCCCGGTCACCTCCAGCCCATTTGTTGTACCAGATATCTGCAATTACGCTCGTAAAGAGTCCTCGGTGATAAACATCATTGACACCTACTATATTCCTTCCCCGTCTGAGGGGTCTCCTTTCTTTCCATCTCCCGCTTTCACTTGCTTCCGCGCAGGCTTGAGCTTTTTTACTGGCTTTGATTTTGCCACTACTATTGTCGTTTCGTCGGTGCTCATGATGAAGAACTTGGCTAACGGAACCTGACTAAGCATCTGATTGGTCGAGAGGCTTCACTCGCTTACTAAGCTTAGACTATCATTGTCAGCAATGCCGCGGACAGTCACAGTCCAACTTGAGTGTCAGTCAGCCTCCAGGAGGGCCGCTGAGCCCTGGCCTTGGTATATTGTTTGGCCATTCCACATACGCCTCATAGCCATCGCCGCCGTTATCTCACCGACCCTGTTTCCAATGTCGTTTGACTAACGACTCCATATCCATGTGTTCGCGAATCTCCACTAGTATAACTTCTGAACTCTAAGAAGGCGACACCGCGGCGGTATGTACGTGTCAATATTTGCTCGATCCATGGATTCCGGAATCTAATTAATAGTTCTATGTACAGCCCGCAGCATCGCTACAAAGGGAAATTAGCCGACTCTTTGCGTCACTTTTCGGATTGGTAGAACGGTTGAACGTTAAACTCTGTGGGTCCAATATTTCTCCGTAACAGATGTTCTCGAATAATGGAGGCAGTCCAGACGGTATCCTGGCAGCGATGAGATGTGCACCTTCTGAATGCAGTGGCCTTCCATTGCAATATGCGAACATTGCAAATTTGATGTCCTCTAAGCGTTGGCTAAGCGCCTGGTGCGCGTGTATGAATCATCCGATCTGATGTAGGTCCAGCTGGTCTAACCCCTGGTCGGGTCGCTCAAGCGCATATCACGGTCGGCCGAGGAGCTTCAGTTCTGAGAAGAGGACCGCAGTTCGACCTTCCAGAACTAAAAATTCGTCGTTCAGACCATCCACGGTTTGCTATAGACGGATCGCTCGCGCATCCTAATATTCTGACGTGAACGTCCCGACACCGCAGTCGCCACAACTTCAGCACTGTCACTGGCAGCACCCCATCAACAATTGCACGCGAACATGTACGCGGAAACCTACGTGCTAGAGTTCAAGCGGAAGTCCGCGGGATTTGCAAATTATCCGGACTGTCCAGGTCGTAATGTTTCGATGAAACTACATAATTATTGTTCCACAAGTGATCTAGCTAAGCCTGATCGCAGAAGTACGTCCCACCCATCTTGGTCTGTTGGTCGCCTTGGCAAAAGGATAACTCAAAGGTGCCGGGAGATATGGTTGCTACGTACATGTCGTACATCCATCATGCCACCGGCCGTACAAGCGTATCGGTATCATATCCGTGAAACTTTAGTGCAGTGCAGTACGGGGCCCGGGCCCCTAAATCTCTTCAAACTGGCTATATCTGTTTATCATATCTTCGTAGGACTTATTTCACGCCAACTTAAATCGATGGAGATAATGTGACGTACTACGGACACCCACGTTTTGGAAAATTTAACGACTGGATCAAAGTTTCGGATGCACGATTCAGCCAAAGTCATAACTAGATACTGAGATAAGACGTTGGAGTGGTGTATCCGCGACTGCGTGCCTGCGTGTCACGAGCAAGGCAAACAGTGGCGAAGAGCACTCACTACGCTACGACCGAAAGCCCGAAGAACACTGAGTGGCTGGCGAAACTACGCTGCTACTCCGTCCCTCACCTACGGGTTCCCCACTCCAACGTCCGCAGTTAGGATTGAAGGTCGATCCGTTTAGAATGAGTTCTGTACCGCATCGCGGAGTAAGATCGCCTGAACTTTAACTCTATTCCCCGGGAGCACAGCACAAGGTTAGGAGCACAGCGTGGGGGTTAGCGTGAGGCGTAGCGCACGGGTCAGAGCGAGGCAGGCATAGAGATCAGGAGGTAGGGACTTTGAAGTATATCCACGCCGCACGCATGACATGTCGTAGACAAGCCACTCATCAACACACAACAACAGGTTTCCCTTCAGAGAGCTAGAATTGGCGGTACCGTATATGGTTGTCATGGCTGTTTTTACCATGTAGTATTCGCAGTACCCTAGTAGCAGAACGGGATCAGTAGTCCCTGTTCCATTGCTTACTTGAAGCTCTCTTACATAGGTCGAGCGCGCGCCAGTGGGTAGGATCTAATTGAAGCATTTTGCGAGAATCTCGCAAGGGACCAATTGCATGTCATATCATTGGTTGCCTGTGAATATTCTCATGAGACGTCCGACGGAACTTGAGATAGCGTCAATAAAATGGGGTTTCGATTGAGTACATGATCCGTGTCAGTTGGTTGGACACAACGGTCTGGGCCAAAGGCCCAAAGCACGGTGCACGATGGCTGTGCCGCATCCCCTTTCGGGACAAAGACCGTAGCTTAAGACTTGTCCCATAGCAGAAAATTCTACCACAGAATAGCCCCAACGATAGAACGAAAGAGCAATACACAGCAGAAATGGATACATCATAAATTCACTAGCGTGGTTGGTATCAAGTTCGTGAGTGTGTACGTATACAAACATCAGAAACGGAATATAGAAATGCAACTAGTACGGTACATGAGATGAGCACGGTCAGACATGAGAAAGCACGATGTGAGAAAGTGAGCATGAGAAGACGATAACGAAGAAGGGATAGTAAGACGACAATATGACCAGTGAGAAACCAAAACAGAGCAGTAGATCAAACCGCTTGAGTACAAGAGTACATATGGTCAGCCCCGCAGAAAAGTATTTGTAACACGTCCGAAAATCGTGAAAAGACATACGTGTGCATTGAAACATATGAGGGGAGGCACAAACGGGGCCCTAAGCCCACTGTCCACTCCCCCACCAACGTTTTTCTGAACCGCGCACGGCCCACTCAGCAACACCAGCCGTCGACGCAACATACAGGAAACCTCCTGTCGGGTCGAAGCACGTCCCTGCAATATCCACATCTTCATGCTCTGCCACCGTTCCTGCACGTTCGACTTCTCCTTCCTCCCCATGCGTTCGTCGCGGAGTGCGCCGATAGGGGTGGAATGAAGGTATCATGGGGTGGTACGGAGGGGTTGCAGGGCGATACGGCGGACTTGCGGGACGGTATGTTTGGGAAGAGAGAGGCGATGGGCTGACGGGCCGATACGGGCTTGAGGGGCGGTACGAGTTCATTGGAGGTGGCGAGCCCCCACGTGACAAGCAGTCCACCTCGAGCTCATCAAGGTCCATGGTATCGCCCTCATCACTGCCACCTATCCGATCTGACATCCTAGAGGGCGATGCGTTCATCCATGACGTCCGGGGCGGTGCACCGCGCTGAGGTTATCACGAACATGCTATCATCGCGGCGTGCGGCACGTGCACTCAGTCGGCCTCCTGAATGTCTAAGTGCGGGAGGGGCGGGTGTATGAGCAGGAGGAGTTTGGCTGCAAGAGATGTTGGGCACTCGGATGATTTCTTCAGTTTCGAATGTTCGAGCGTCGAGAACGTGCAGGAGGTTAGTGTGCTGTATAAATTATCATGATCACCTTGAGTATAAAACGGCGATACTCCGAACTCATGCACACCTCAGTATACGTCATCACCTCGTGTCCTGTCCGCCCGCCAACTCCGCCGCACCCGAACTTGACGCTTCGCGCGCCCCATCCTGGCGCACGTGAGGTTCTGCGTGTCCAGTCCCACGGGTCATCACTCATCCACTCGCTGTCACCACCGCCCCTCTCACGACTCGTATGCAGCACCTTTAACGGCTTTGTGCTCCGCACGTCCCAGATCGCGATGACTCCTTCTTGACAAGCAACAGCGAACTTAAGGCCGTCGGCGCTCCATGCGGTGCTAAAGGACGCTACGAGAGAGTTAGGATGGATGGAGATGGCGGACGGGATCTCTAATGTTGTGACGCGATTGAAGGTAAGCTGATCGTTGCCTGAAAGGGAGTGAAGGTAGATCCGAGGAGAGTCTCCGACTGAGAGTAAGGTGCGTCCGTCGGGCGAGATAGAGGCTGTACATATCCGCAGGGTTGAGTTAATTCCGAACACGGGAGATGATAACGTACAATGATTCACAGGCTCTTCGAGTGTGAGGGTCCCACAGCACCTAAGGTCCTGTGCCCAACGGACTCGGAGGGGTACGTCGTAGAGGCGAACTGTCCAGTCATTATTACTTACGACGAGCCGTGGTTCGTGAGAACTATTGAATGCGCGTGCAAGGAGGACGGAATTGTTGATGCTTCCATTGAGCCTGCGGGAGAACTGCCAGAGCGCACGGGTACGTGATGGACTGTGAAGCGAGAGGTGGATCTCGGTGTCCTGACCACCTGCTGCGAGAAGTGTGTGCGGGGAATCAGAAAGGTTTAGCGAAGAAAAGAGTGTTTGGGATAAATGTGAGATCGGCTAAGGGTTTTGGTGCCTAGGAGCCACGAATGAGAATCGTCCTGCGAACCTTACATCACATAAAGGCAAGGATAAATGAAAACGCACCAGGTCTGGAGCATGAAGGTCATGCTCCATAATGGAGTTCTTATGAACATAATTGACGATGCCAGCCTCGCGTGGACATATGATTAAATCTCGAAGTTGCCTGCAGAGCGGTTTAGTAGCGAGCAACTACGAAAGGATAAAAGCGTACACATGGCCGATGGTAACGTCTGCTGGTGCGATGACACTTGGAGTCGCCGACACCAGCAACGACGAGGTACGAGCCATAACTAGGAGTGCTAGCCTTTACAATGGCAACTTGAAGATCCTGCGTGTGACGTTGAGAACATCGACTTACTGGTACTCCACAATGCGGCCCGGATCCTCTGAGCTACCACGTGACTCAACTTTCCTCCTCAGACTCGATCACCGTCAAGTGTGGTTGACATGCCATGTACCCCTTCAACGAACGTGGAGCTACCCAAAAGAATATCATACCTCCCTTAATGCGAATAAATACATCACTTTTGTGGACGAGCATTGTTCAGTGAGTCCTCCTCACCAACTGCGTTGACACAGAGATTGGCTTTACGTCGTCTAGGACACGTCGTACTAGTAGCATTGCTGGGGAGGGCTTTGGAATGAGATGAAATACAAGTGTGAAAGAAATTTATTAGCTGCTTCGGAAACGAACAAGTTGTCATGAACGTAATCCCTTTTTCGCTTGAGCACTTCGAACAATAATTAAAATACTCATGGCCTCTTTGCATCGTAACAGGAGACAGTGTGTGGGGTACCGCAGGTACTCTCACGAAGTTCCAACCATTCAGCTGTCCTGTTCATCTGCCAGGTCCTACAGTTTTTTGATCTGTTGAACTCTTCCGCTATGATTGCATGGTTTCTCAGCACTCCACCACCGCATGCATGAGCGGCTGTTGGTGGAAAGGCGAGAGTATTGTTACTGTTCTCACCGGAAGGCCTATGATACTATCCATCACCGTCTCGCCAGCGCAACAAGCCTCTTCTCAGAACATCCCCATAGCTTCCTCGGATGCAGTAATATCTCGATTTGCGCCATACTGGCTGAAATCCAGGATATTAATTTCCTTCCTAACCACTTCGCTTCTTTGTATATCATGCCATATACTGTGCCTTGCCACGTCCTGTTGGAGTACAAGTCCGCGCATAACAGTATCTGGCAGTCACCTCAGACTGCACTTTGATGCACTAGCTCTTCCAGGCTACTTCAGAATTGTTGACAAAGCGTCCCTTTCATCTTCCACTTGTACTTGCGAGGAGGCAAATTTAAGTGTAAACAGAAATAATATGTCCGTCTGCGTAATGCAGAAAGGTACAGTGTCCGAGTCACCGTGGGGAACACCCCAGTTCAGGTTTGGATCTGTGCGAATAAACAATTCGCTGATCCCATGGAACGACGAAAGAATATGAAGTCCAAGTCCAAGCAAAAAGTCCGTTCCTTGAGCCGCGTATAGTTAAAAGGCTTGAATAGGCTATGCGCGGCCTATGACCTAGACCTGTGCCACTCGCTGTATTGCAACCTTCGTAATCGATTTCTTTTATTTTGTTCTCTTTACTGCTTCTGTTTACTCGTGGAGCTCGACAAACAAAAGGGTTGGCGAGAGTCGGGTGAACTGTTCGGACTCAGTATACAGGAACCACCATTCGACTGGAAAGCACTGACTTCGGCCCCCCTTCCCCAGTCTCAGATCAGGAGATCAAGTCTTCTGGAACTGCTGTCATGAGGGCGCCACGCCGCCACTCGACACGATGTGCAAATATGCGGGTGGATACGGAACACCTGCCGTCGTCGGCCGATGGATCGTGCACCAGGGTGCTGGTCCAGCTAGCACCGGTTGACCACCAACTACTAGAGGATGGCGGTAGCCAGCGGCGAGGTCAAGCGTAAAACGTGAGTGCTGCTCGAAGACTAAAGAAGTAAACATATTCCGATTGGCAACTGAACAGTGTCGAGGCGATCAAATATAATCAGGATTCAGCACCAACGCTTTGGCAAATGGCACCCCGCTCCATCAGAATATTTGGAAAACATCTTTTATCATTCAATTGATGAGTTGCGACTTGTGGAAGGTATACTCACAAATAACTCAGGGAGAGGTGGCTCACGGTGAGGTTGGGGAGGGATACAAAAAAGATCATAGGCAGTGAGCTAAGGGTTTTCATACAGTGAGACTCGGATATTATACTTGATCGCATGCACGCTGCACAAGGTGACACTTATAACTTGTGCCAGCAGGATTCTAAGCTTCAAGATCATGTTGGAGTCAGTAGCAGGCAAGGGCACCAGGAGCGAGCTCGTTCAACCCTCGTTGACGTCGGCCCAAATACGAGCGCAATGTGTCGCCATCGGCCGAAGCCTCTCGACGGAATGTCAAAACTATATGTTTGTTATTCCTAGTCTACTTGTATGACGAAAGAACGAGTCCTGTCGTTGCAACACCAGACACTGAGATAATATATTCTCTACCTAGCCTCTCAGTCTCATCGCGTGCGCTCGCCTCCAGTTTCCAGTCCTCAGATATCAATGACATAATAAACGAGCTCATAGCTGTATTGATTCTTGAATACGTTCGGTCTCCCTTAGCTGTCACACAGCGACATCCTCGGTCGGATGATGCGATATCCAGGAACTGTTAGGGTGTTGCATTCTTTGGGATCAGTAATCCAGAACCAATTTACGCCTGTATCATTTCGTGAACAACGTGGTACTGCCTAGCTGGGCCTGTGTCGCCTAGTCACGGAACGCCACAGACTGCAATCGGAATCTGATAGATCTGATGGACGTCATGCGCAGTAAGTCGCTCGGGATACTTGACAGTTGCAGAGTTGGAGCCGATGATATGGCGTGGGCGCGCAAGATATGATCAAAGGGACGGGCGGGCGGTAATAGATGTACTCATATTTCAAGTGCAGAATTCGCGACAGTAAGAACTAGATCGTGAAGCTTTGAAGAACTGTCAGCCAAGTTGTCGCCGTGGCCGCACATCTCACAACAGTTCGACACTGCCGTCAGCAAGTTGATTTACGAAATGAGGGGTTGTCCGTTTCGCCCAGCTTCGTCTAATGCAAAAACATTGAATTTAAGGTGCTGGGACCGAGCACGGGCTGTTGACCGACCATGTCATGTATCGGGATATACATAGCTGAACATCGCATTCTGCTGTCGATATCAACCGAAATGCGATGTGAACGTTAAACTGCAAATGATGGGAATGAAAGGTGGTTGAATGAGGAGTGAGCGGAATGTACGGTCCGGGTGAAGAGACAAAGCAACCACAAAGACAAAGAATGCCAGCTAGACCTGCGCGTGGTGCCGGCTCCTTCCGAGCACTCAAAACCGGCGATATCCAGGTGTCGATCATGATACCATGCTTGACTTTGATTGCGCACAAAGGATCATCATTTTCCACGCCTACTCCTTTGTCTACTGATCTCATCACGCACATCCTGGAGAACATCAAAGGGAAATTGTATTTGGAACGAAAGCTACAACGTTTTGTAAACAAAGGGACGTGGACGTCCGATACTAGTAAGTGCACAAAGCAAAGGGTTGATAAGCACGCTCTGAATCTTCGCCTTTGACACTCACCCACAATATTTAAGATGAATTTTATCCGTGAACTCCTTGGTAGCGGTACGCCCGTCACCTTTCTCCCCTTTTCCGGCAGTCGTTATAGAATCGCACGTTCGACGCTAGAGTTCGTGGTGAATTACAGTGTCTGCTCCTATCGAGGACTGACTTACTGCTGAATCCCATCACCCTGTCCTCGTCCTCATCCTCTTCTGACTCTCCCTCTTCCCAATTTTCACCGCTCGCGTCAAATGAGGAGGCGGCTGGTGGGCGCGGTTCTGGATTCAACTGAAAAAAACCAGTCTCTTCTCCTGGTTAGCTCTTTATCTTCCTATAAATGTAGTTAGTTATTCATTCTGTTCATAGGAGAAATTAACCCACCTCTAGCTCGAGGATGCCCGGGCACTTGCTCCTGTGCTTGACCCACAGTCCAGGATAGTACCTGGAGCGTTTGTCAAGGCTGATGGCCTTCTGACATCCGCGACACCTGACGGATGTGGGTTGCACATCCTCGGTGTACTCATCGTTCTCGAGCTCCTGTTTTCTCTGGTCCTCCTTTCTCCGCTTTCTACCGCCCGCGACGACTTCATCATCACGATTGCCGTTGTCGATGCCCAGGCTCTCATGAACGACCTGCGGAGGGCTTAGCACGTATTGTGCGTCGTGCGTGTCGGAACGCGGAGGTGAATCGGCGAGTACATAAAGCCCGCCCTTACAGACCAGCGAGTGGTCATTCAGAAGGCGACTGACCGTGGGCCAGTCGGTGTCAACGGCATAAACGAAAACGACTGGACACCTGTACCTGCCGCAGTTTAGCGTGTGGGTTTTGGGGGCTGTTTTGTTTTTGTCGTTGCATTGACTGGCGACGCAGTCATTGTCTGATGGTTGCATGGCAGCTAGGGGAGTGGCGGTTGATTTTTGCATTTGTCTTGCTGGGGGAGATGTCCTTTCAGATGTAGATGAGGAATTTGTTGTAGTGGCGCGAAGTTTTTCCTTTCTTTTAAGGCCCTTCTCGGAGTTGTATTGTTCGCCCTCAAATACACGTGGTATTTTTTTTCATTCCGATTTCTGTCCATTGAGGTAACGTACCCTATGTCGGACAGTACTAACTAGTCCGCAACACCTGGACTCGCAAATACTCCAGCGTGGGGGTATACGCGCAGTCCATTGGGTGACTAATCTCTCCGTGGCGTGAAGTGTAAGTGCGCCAAGTACACATGGTATTCCAAGGCGGACAACCACTCTCATGAAAGTCATTCATAGAAGGCTAATGTGGTATCTAATTTTCTTGTCACTCCTAGATGAGTTGACGATCCCAAGGCTTCCCAAGTTGCAGGGTACATTTCTCGTCATGAAAGTGAACTCCGCCTGACATGATCGTTCCAGAAAAACCATCAGAAGTCAAGACAGTATATCTACTCTGGCCGCCGCCAGGACAAACTCTGGATTTTCCCACATGTTTGGAACTTCTTTAGGCCTACAATAGGGATGGTGAAGACACTTAGTCATGATGGTGCCTTTCTTGCGGGCGGTCACCGGTCAGTTCTGCTGTCGTCTTCTTGTCCAGTAACTTTACATGCACGATGCCAGATTCCGCACGCATAACCTAGTTCCCCTCAACTGGCGGTTGGGCTCAGATCCAGGCATATAAGATGCAGCAGGTTCGGTGACCATGCTTCCGTTCAAGCCACTTATTGATTCGCACAGTTCAATCTAGAGTCAGCCCTGGTTGCAAAAGGCATCTCGCCCCCACCTTTGCTGAAATCCTATGATGAAGAACGACTTCCAGTCATACAAAAGATCCTCGTCGAATTGAACAATAAATTTTCATGCCCTCATCAGCTCTATGCTTTGTATTGACCATCCTTAGAGCTTAATTGTTTTGAACACGCGATCTTACTCTCGACTTACAAGCGATGGTGAACTTAAAGAACCTTGCTTATAGCGAGAGTACTTGGGTCTGTGGAGGTCCGTCCTTCAACACAACATCTATCTTCAAGTCCCACAGACGAAATACCTCGTCGTTCGAGCTAGCGATGATCGTTCATCCGTCATTTATCGGGGGAAACTGCGACTGCCCTTATGCGTCTTTCATGGCCTTTGGATTCTCGGCACTGACGGGGACATGTCACATGTACCAATGTCACTGGAGCAGGCGAAGAGGAATGTACTGGGTCGGCCGCAGAGGAGTGGCGAATGGGTGACTGCTGCAGCGAGGTCAGGAGGTTTTTTTTCCATCGCGTCTCGTTCTGCATCAGTGTATATTCATGTGTAACGATACCTATAACTCAATTGACATGTTTCAATAACTCATACGGTGCTTCTAGGGATCCGAGCTCCATATGGTGCGCCATCCTAGGTAATTGATCCCTTCCCTCCTTCGCCTCCTTCCAGCGCTCAATTCTTGCTAACCAAGTCTCTCAACACCGTCCCAGTGGTGCAATAGTGAATCTAGACGAAAGAAGAAGGGAGAAACACCAATAATTGAAAGTACGCACTCGCACTTAACATCTACCCAGCAGTTCGACCCAGTACTGGTGTGACTATGCGCTGCTCGGTGGCTGGTACTGGCTTTGTTTGTATTCAAGGTTACCATTCAAAATGACATGCAACGCCAATTATACGCTACAATCATCTCCATTTCGCTTGACTTCCTTCTATTTTCATTCAATTGAGGTTGCATTCATGAAGCTGCGTTCTTTGAATTTTCCTGAATTGTCCTCCGTGGTTTGTACGTTTCGATAGACTACTTGCAAAGTGGGAGGTTTTGTGTTCAATGCAAAAAACTCAGTGGGTTTATTAGTTGTGGGAAAGAGGATCACGCGCAGTATCTACTCTTACCAACCGAGAAGATAAGAATTCTCTATCTAAAAACCATTGGTATAGTATTCTCTAGGATAAAGAGAAGGATTTAGGTTGCATCTCGAGATTCTCCGAAAAAGCTGGTGCAAAAACAAGAGGAAGGGACACATTCCCGGTGGAAGTCTCTTCAATGGGATGAGCTGTATTGTACAGTTCGCGGTGCATGCGTGTCGCTAGTATTCCGTGTATCACGAACTGTAATCTACGAGACAGTCAGTCAATATGTCCAGTCCAAGAAATAGCCCCTTACTCTGGTACTGCGTCTATGTACGATGCCTACGATTAGACCTTGAGTTTGACGTTGGATTCATATTGTTGTAAACACGCACGGGAAGAATGACCACGACGACCACAACTGCGGTGGAAAATACTGGTCCGCCACGAATGTTAGTGTCAATTTATGAAGAATGGTGTTTCACTCACCAAGCCCACAGGCAAAGTAAAATATGTTATGTTTGACCAGAACCCGCACAAGAGGCATATCGTTTCCATGTTGTCTATAATACTTCCACGAGTGGTATAACATGAGACTGAGGATTTCTACGAAATATTTAACGCGACAATGTAAAAATACCGTGAAACCTACCTATTTCTGCGACGACGAGCAAAGCGTAGGCTAAGATGATGATGTGACCCCGCGTGCCGTCATAGCAACTTGTGACTTTTGGAATAGGTGACTGCACGACTATACCGCATCGCTTGTGAACCACCAAATAAGCGAACAGGAGGAAACTCACCTGTGGAGGAAGAGTTGGATAATGCAAGAGCCACCGTCACTGGGACCAGGAAGAGCTATACGTTGGGCTATTGACAAAACATTTCACTTACGGAAGACTGACATACCACAAGGTTGCCACACATTGTTAGCCATCTGCCTCCCATTACTGCCCAAACCCTCCACAGAAAGAGTGCTGTAGGATGTTGGAACCATGGCCAGCCACCAACATAATGGATAGAAAAGGATACTGACATTCTGCACAGAACAGTATGATTCCTCCAACATCTGATAGGGGTGTCAGTTACAGAAGTATTCGTTTCACAAGGGGATCACACTCACATACGCTGAATGCAAGCAAAGTTGTGCAGGACTGAGATTTTTGAATTGAAAATTTAAGAGCGACATGAAGGGACAGCAATGCACCTTAATAGAAAGTCCAGGCTGTAAAAGTCCTGAAAACAGGTAAGATTCTACTCGCTTTAAGCGGCATATTTTTGAACATACGAAACATATCGGTAATAACCAATGCAAATTGTAAGTACCGGCAGGCAAGATAGATCAATTTGGGTATTCGCCATGGAGCGTACAGCATGAATGCGACCTTTGTATGTCACTTGTCAGGCTCTGGGCACTGTCATGACATTGGGCTAGGTGAAAACATACATCTTTATCGAGGGTGAGAGCAAAGTCATAAACCTAATAGCGAAATAATCAATTTCCTTGGTCGACTTGACAGGTCGCCGACTGAGTTGGTACCTACCCAAAGACATGCTACAGCGACTCAGACGAAAGTTCAGCACGAACGCTGCTGCATAACAATCATTGGTAGCACGCACTGGAAGCATACTATATAGTGCACGTAAACAGTCAGTTCGTTGAATGCCATGCTACCGTGATTGATTCTGATCATCACTCACGACGGTGTACTGCAGTATAATGCCGATACTAATATCAGCTTGGTCAAACAAACAGGACCATGATAGCAAATGGCTGACTGGGTCTAAATATTGTAGTTATGTGTTGTAGGTAAGATATCGAAGATTGTTGCGATGCTCTACTAGATATTGCTTTAAATAACCTTCTCATTTGTTCATCAGTTCTCTGATGCTGCGCGCTGATCTCAGTAGTTCTATATTTACCACCTGTGACTCCCACTTAACAACGGTAATTGTAGGTGATGACACATGGGTATCGCACCTATAGGACGAGGGGACGAGCCTCCTTCAATATTGTTCGAATAAAGAGGGACTTTATATAGCGGTAGTGTAGTGTATGGCACTAGGACAGAGTACCGCCGGCATGTCGACAATAATGTGACGTGTTCCTGGCACCGGCTAATAATATCCGAACCTTCCATCACCACTTGGTTAAGACCAGTGAAGATGAACCTCCGAGGAATCCATCCATCGGTGAATGTCAAAGTGTGTTTCGATAGAAAAAACCTTGTGGTCGGCAGGTTTCGAGCCTGCGCAAGTCCGACACAAACAAATTTCAATTCCGTTGCAGTGACCACGTTGGCCAAGGCGAAGTTGAAATGGACCTCCGAGGAAATGTCTATCAGTGAATCTTCAAGGTGTGTTTTGAGAGAAAAAAAACCTCGTCGGCAGGTTTTGAACCTGCACTGGTAGTGTGAGTCCAAGAGACAGATTTCGATTCCGTTGCAGTAACCACTTTGGCCAGGGCGAAGTTGAGATGAGCCTTTGAGGAATTGTCCATTAGTGAATCCTCAATGAAGGGGTGTTCGGATGGAAAAAAAAACTCATTGGCAGGTTTTGAGCCTGCACTGGTACAGTCCAAGAGACATGTGTTGGAGTAACCACTTCAGTCAGGGCGAAGTCGCTCCGAGGAATTGGGCGTGTTCCGATAGAAAAATCATCTGTTGTTCGGCAGGTTTCGAACCTGCGTAGTCCAAGAGAAACGGATTTTGATTCCGTTGTGGTAACCACTTTGGCCAGGACGAAGTTGAGATGGGCCTCTGAGGAACTGTCCATCAGTGACTAGTGAATCTTCAAGGCGTGTTCGGAAGGGAAAAAACTCATTGGCAGCTTTTGAACCTGCACTCGTACAGTCCCTTGAAGAGACAGATTTTGATCAACCACTTCAGTCAGGGCGAAGTCGCTCTGAGGAATCACGCGTGTTCCGATAGAAAAAGAACCCTGTTGTTCGGCAGGTTTCGAACCTACGTACTATAGTCCAAGAGAAACAGATTTTGATTCCGTTTGTGATAACCACTCTGGCGTAACGTCGGACCAAATACGAGCTCAATGTGTTGCCATCGGCCGAAGCCTCTCGACGGAATGTCAAAACTATATGTTCGTTATTCCTAGTCTACCTGTATGATGAAAGAACGAGTCCTGTCGTTGCAACACCAGACACAGATAATATATTCTCTACCTAGTCTCTCACTCTCATCGCGTACGCTCGCCTCCAGTTTCCAGTCCTCAGATATCGATGTCATGATAAACCAGCTTATAGCTGTATTGAATACGTTCGGTCTGTAGACAGCGACACCCTCAGTCGGATGATGCGATATCCGGGAGCTGTTAAGGTGTTGCATTTTGTGGGATCAGTAATCCAGAACCAATTTACGCCTGTATCATTTCGTGAACAACGTGGTACTGCCTAGCTGGGCCCGTCGTCAACATCTTCCCGGTCACGGAACGCCGCAGACTGCAATCGGATTCTGATATATTTGATGGACTGGCAACGTGCTGGGACCGAGCAGGGGCTGTTGAATGACTATGCCATGTATCAAGATATAGATAGCTGGACATCGCATTCTGCTGTCGATATGATATCAACCGAAATGCGATGTGAACGTTAAACTGCAAATGATGGGAATGAAAGGTGGTTGAATGAGGAGTGAGCGGAATGTACGGTCCGGGTGAAGAGACAAAGCAACCACAAAGACAAAGAATGCCAGCTAGACCTGCGCGTGGTGCCGGCTCCTTCCGAGCACTCAAAACCCGGCGATATCCAGGTGTCAATCATGATACCATGCTTGACTTTGATTGCGCACAAAGGACCATCATCTCCCACGCCTACTCGTTTGTCTAGTGATCTCATCACGGAAATCCTGGAGAACATCAAAGGGAAATTGTATTTGGAACGAGTTTTGTAAACAAAGGGACGTGGACGTCCGATACTAGTAAGTGCACAAAACAAAGGGTTGACAAGCACGCTCTGAATCTTCGCCTTTGACACTCACCCATATTATTTAAAATAAAAAATTATCCGTGAATTCCTTCGTAGCGCCATACCGGTACGCCCATCACCTTCACCTTTCTCCCCTTTCCCGGCAGTCGTTATAGAATCGCACGTTCGACGCTAGAGTTCGTGATGAATCACAGTATCTGCTCCCATCGAGGACTGACCTACTGCTGAATCCCATCACCCTGTCCTCGTCCTCGTCCTCATCCTCATCCTCTTCTGACTCTCCCCTCTTCCCAATTTTTCACCGCTCGCGTCAAATGAGGAGGCGGCTGGTGGGCGCGGTTCTGGATTTAACTGAAAAAACCAGTCTCTTCTCCTGGTTAGCGCTTTATCTTCCTATAAATTTAGTTAGTTACTCATTCCGTTCGTAGGATAGATTAACTCACCTCTAGCTCGAGGATGCCAGGGCACTTGCCTCCTGTGCTTGACCCACAGTCCAGGATAGTACCTGGAGCGTTTGTCAAGGCTGATGGCCTTCTGACATCCGCGACACCTGACGGATGTGGGTTGCACATCCTCGGTGTACTCATCGTTCTCGAGCTCCTGTTTTCTCTGGTCCTCCTTTCTCCGCCTTACTCTACCGCCCGCGACGACTTCATCATCGCGGTAGCCGTTATTGATGCCCGAGCTCTCAGGAATGACCTGCGGAGGGCTTAGCACGTATTGTGCGTCGTGTGCGTCGGAACGCGGAGGTGAATCGGCGAGTACATAAAGCCCGCCCTTACAGACCAGCGAGTGGTCATTCAGAAGGCGACTGACCGTGGGCCAGTCGGTGTCAAACGGCATAAGCGAAAACGGCTTGACACCTGGACCTGCCACAATTTAGTGTGTGGGTTTGGGGCGGTCGTTTGGTTTATGTTGTTGCGTTGACTGGCGACGCAGTCGTTGTCTGATGATTGCACGGCGGCTGAGGGGACTGGCGGTTGATTTTTGCATTTGTTTTGCTGGGGGAAGTGTCCTTTCAGATGTAGATGAGGAATTTGTTGTAGTGGCGTGAAGTTTTTCCTTCTTTTAAGACCCCTTCTCGGAGTTGTATTGTTCGCTCTCAAATACACGTGGAATTTTTTTTTCATTCCGATTTCTGTCCATTGAGGTAATGTACCCTATGTCGGACAGTACTAACTGGTCTGCAACACCTGGACTCGCAGATACTCCAGCGTGGGGGTATACACGCAGTCCATTGGGTGACTAATCTCTCCGTGGCGTGAAGTGTAAGTGCGCCAAGTATACATGGTATTCCAAGGCGGACAATCACTCTCATGAAAGTCATTCATAGAAGGCTAGTGTGCTATCTAATTCTCTTGTCACTCTCCTAGATGAGTTGACGATCCCAAGGCTTCCCAAGTTGCAGGGTACATTTCTCGTCATGAAAGTGAACTCCGCCTGACATGATCGTTCCAGAAAAACCATCAGAAGTCAAGACAGTATATCTACTCTGGCCGCCGCCAGGACAAACTCTGGATTTTCCCACATGTTTGGAACTTCTTTAGGCCTACAATAGGGATGGTGAAGACACTAGTCATGATGGTGCCTTTCTTGCGGGCGGTCACCGGTCAGTTCTGCTGTCGTCTTCTTGTCCAGTAACTTTACATGCACGATGCCAGATTCCGCACGCATAACCTAGTTCTCCCCAACTGGCGGGCAGGGCTTGGATTCAGGCATACAAGATGCAGCAGGTTCGGTGACCATGCTTCTGTTCAAGCGACTTATTGATTCACACAGTTCAATCTAGAGTCAGCCCTGGTTGCAAAAGGCATCTCGCCCCCACCTTTGCTGAAATCCTATGATGAAGAACGACTTCCAGTCATATTTTCATCGAATTGAACAAAAAAATTTCATGCCCCCATCAGCTCTATGCTTTGTATTGACCATCCTTAGAGCTTAATTGTTTTGAACACGCGATTTTACTCTCGACTTGTAAGCGATGGCGAACTTAAAAAACCTTGCTTATAGCGAGAGTGCTTACGAGTATCTTGTTGCTGTAGATCGTGGTCCAAATCAATCGCTTTTGATCTTCTCGATCCCGTTCGGCACATTGTTATGCTATTTATCAGCGCTAGCAATCCGGAAGGTGTTTCAAGTATCTAACATTCCGGACAGCACTCCTGCCAAGACCAGCAGAGGACACCGATCATTTATCTACGCCCACCCCAGACTTTAGTTGCAATAAATCTGCGTTTAATCACCATGGTTGATGTGTAGATTCAGCGTACAAGGTTATGAACATCCAACATTCACCAAGACGCTCAGTCAACTGTGCCTTGTTTGTCCCTTCAATAGGCGGCAGGGCTTGGTTCGCAAGGTAATGCTCGTAATTCATGGCGAGTTTCCCCGCAGCCTTCTTGATCTCGTCTGGATTTTGGCACGGTCTGCTTGTGCAGTGTTCACGGTCTGTTCACAAGCAGCGACGTTGAACACAGTAGCTTACGTGCGATATGGCATGATCCTCGTTAGTGACTTCACCTGACGCCGTTGGTTGACAGGGTCAAGTGATGCTGTGTCCGTCGTATCTCAGCCTGCTTCGCATGAACGAGTTTCGCGTTGACCTTTCTATTGATATCTCCGTCCAGTTGCCCGGGTCTTGCTGCGGCAATCGAACGTATGTTCTGCCCCGCATCAACATAAAACAGGAGCGCACGCAAACTGCACATATCAGAATGATATGACTCGGTCTGCCACTTTCAATTCTCCTACCTTTAGCTTTCGAATCATCTTCGGTAGCTTTGGAAGAGCCAACGACCGAAGGAGTGTTCATCGATGAGAGGCTGTGGAGGTTACATCATCTGCCTGACTGTCAGACTCACTCTGTCCTAAGCTTGCGCTCGTTCTTCTGGTCTCCAGCTCCATCGATGTTTCATTCGGTGGTGAATCTCGACAGTTTTGGTTAGTCCGTCGAGAATTTAGGTTGGCACGTACACATCTCAGGGATATACCTTATGTTTCTGAGACGATCCGCGCGAGGCGTGAAGGTGAATTATATCTCATGGACAGACTATCACATATAAAGGAGGTTTCGGCACAATGACTGGGTCTGATTAAAAGGAGCTCTGAGGATCGATACACTGCAAAAATGTGGTCAGCAGGTTTCGAACCGACTGCAAGAGAAACAGATTTGGATTCTGTTGTGAGAACCACTTGGTCAAGACCAGTTAAGATGAGCCCCGGAGGAATCCATCCACGAGTGAACGTCAAAGTGTGTTGTGATAGAAAAAAACCGTGTCGTCGGCAGGTTTCGAGCTTGCGCAAGTCCGACACAAACAGATTTCGATTCTGTCACTTTGGCCAGGCGGAGGTGAAATGAAGCTCCGAGGAAATGTCCATCAGTGAATCTTCAAGGCGTATTCTGAGAGAAAAACACCTCGTTGGCAGGTTTCAGGCTGCACTCGTACGGTCCAAGAGACAGATTTCGATTCTGTGACAGTAACCACTTTGGCCAGGCGAAGTTGAAATGAGCCTACGAGGAAATGTCTATTAGTGAATCCTCAAGGTGTGTTCTGAGAGAAAAAAACCTCGTCGGCAGGTTTTGAACCTGCACTGGTAGTGTCAATCCAAGAGACAGATTTCGATTCCGTTGTAGTAACCGCTGTGGCCAGGGCGAAGTTAGGATGAGCCTCTGAGGAACTGTCCATCAGTGAATCTTCAAGGTGTGTTCTGAGAGAAAAAAACCTCGTCGGCAGGTTTTGAACCTGCACTGGTAGTGTCAATCCAAGAGACAGATTTCGATTCCGTTGCAGTAACCACTTTGGCCAGGGCGAAGTTGAGATAAGCCTCTGAGGAACTGTCCATCAGTGGATCCTCAAGGCGTGTTCGGACGGGGGCAGGTTTTGAACCTGCACTGGTACAGATTTTGATTATGTTGCAGTGACCACTTCAGTCAGGGCGAAGTCGCTCCGAGGAATGGGCGTGTCCCGACAGAAAAAAAAACATGCTGTTCGGCAGGTTTCGAACCTGCATAGTCCAAGAGAAACGGATTTTGATTCCGTTGTGGTAACCACTTTGGCGAGGACGAAGTTGAAATGAGCCTCTGAGGAACTGTCCATCAGTGAATCCTCAAGGCGTGTTCGGATGGAAAAAAAAACTCATTGGTAGGTTTTAAACCTGCACTGGTACAGATTTTGATTATGTTGCAGTGACCACTTCAGTCAGGGGCCCAGGGCGAAGTCGCTCCGAGGAATCAGGCGTATTCCGATAGAAAAAAAACCCTATTGTTCGGCAGGTTTCGAACCTGCGTAGTCCGAGAGAAACGGATTTTGATTCCGTTGTGGTAACCACTTTGGCGAGGACGAAGTTGAGATGGACCTCCGAGGAATTGTCCATGAGTGAATTTGCAAGGCGTGTTCCGATAGAAAAAGAACCCTGTTATTCGGCAGGTTTCGAACCTGCATATTCCAAGATCTAGAAACGGATTTTGATTCCGTTGTGGTAACCACTTTGCCGAGGACGAAGTTGAGATGAACCTCCGAGGAACTGTCCATGAATGAATCTTCGCGAAGTACAAGAGAAACAAATTTTGATTTTGTTGTGTTAACCACTGGGGCCAGGACGCTTGATTGCCAAGTTTAGAGTCCTCAACTTGACTACGATTTTTGGCCTATGTCACGGGTGTAACAGAGCGCGGCTGTCCGGCTTTCCATCACAAGGCAAGCATATGAAACCAGCCCCTAGAGGTACTTGCTTGTATTGTTACTAGTCACTGCTCCTGACCGCAGACCGACATCATGCTGAACGCCGAGGCCTGAGGATGCACAGCTAGTAAGTTCTGGCGGGTTTCAATCACCTATTGAAATAAGCGGCATGCACATACTGATGCTACATTGACCAAGTGTGATGCATAGACAATAGTCCGCGCTACATATACAGTAAAAAAAGTAAATAAAAAAATGTAATCGAGCACACAAGTACTTATGAGCGAGCTGCTCTCGGAGCCTCTGTGATGTAGCCATCCTGCTCCTCATTCGAGATATCTTCAAGCGTTCTCTGCTTCGTCTCGGGAATGAGAAGCGTGGAGAAGACACCAGTCAACATAAACAGAGCCAAGATCTCCATACTATGAAACCAAATTTAGCTTCTGAACACGGGTCCGAGAATGTTCAGGCTGCTCACATGTGTTGCACGAATGCATTTGTGCCGCCGATGTTGATAAGCTGAGCAAAGCCGACCTGGGAAATGATAGCGCCGAGCTTGCCAGTAGCGGCAGAGATACCGAAGGCTGTCGAACGGTAACGAGTGGGGAAAGCCTCTCCGGGAATAACGAAAGTGGTGGTATTGGGGCCAAAGTTTTGGAAGAAGTTGGTGACGCAGTAAAGGAACACAAACGCGTTCTTGCTTGAGGGAGAGGCGTCCAATTTATCATAAGCGAAACCTGCACAGTAATCGTCAGTCTCATACGTAATCGTAGTGGTGAGATGTACAGACCCATAATGATGAAAAGACCCGTGAGTACAGAGAAACCCATCAGTTGAATGGGCTTGCGGCCCCATGAATCGATAAGAAAGAAAGATGCATAATATCCTGGAATCAAGCCCGCCACGGAGAGGATGAGATTCCCCACACAAGTGTTGTACAAGTTCTGGTAAACATAAAGTGGGGAGGTTTTGTCACCGGTGGGACTGCCAAAGTTGATTGCAGTCAAGATGATGGAGCTGTTTAAGCCAAGGCCGTAGTAAGCGATCTGGATGTGAAGATTAATTTGCGACCTCAAAAGAGCTAAATTTGGACTTACATCGAGAGCGAACCAGGAGTAGGAAGTGCCGATCAAGACTTTCAAGTTTTTCCACTGGCTGAAGTATGCAGCAAAATCTGCGCGGGTTGCCTTCGGGGCTGAGGCATGCTGCACGGGAAGATCTTCGTCCGTGGAGTGATGTTTTGGATTCATGACGTCGGTGATATCTGCAGTAGCCTGTGCGACATTGCGCTCGATATCCATT